TCTCAGGGATGGGTCCCTACCAAGTAGAGCATAATCTCTGTTGTGTGTGAAATAAGTCTCTTTCCACATAAACCTGAAGGGAGGGACAGGCTAGCAGGGAAGAGGGAGACTGGGGGGTGGGATGTGGGGCAGCAGGGCAGGAGGGAGGGAGCCCTGGCTGAAACTCAGAGAAGGCAATTGATGGAGGTTGGGCCCCGCACTATTGCTGCAGCATGCAGGGAAACGATATCTAACCTCCTGGCCACTCTCAAAAGGGGGAAACCATACTTGGGATGTTGTTCAATGTGCACCAAACGCTGGGAAACCCCCTGTGTTATGAAGAAAGGCAGCATTTAGACAAGTTGATTCTGCTGTGTCCTCCATGTCTTGAAATTCAATGATCTCTTTGTAGGACTCTTGGCTTCCACTCCATGAATTGTCTCAAAGAAACTGATGTGTGTGTCTGTGCTCACGGGAGATGCAGTGTGTGTGGTGGTGTGTTCAGTGAGTGGATGTCATTAACCCATATGCAACAAAAGTCACACATTTGATAGAAATAAATCCCACAAGACCACCGCTTGGTCTCAGGTTTCAGCATGATTGTGACCAAATCTATTTATAGAATTTCCTTATGTGAAGGAACAACACTCTGAAACTTTAAAGATAATAGAATATTTTATTCCAATAGAATAAAATTAAATGGAAGCTTGGACTGTGCGTGTGATCACCGTGCTCATGTTGTAAAGTCAGAAGTACGTGTATTTTGATACTGATGTGTTGTCTCTCGCTCCCCTCACCTCTGGCCCGTATTATCCTGGGCATCCAATGTATCCATTCTGCACAGAACCGTTGTTTCCCTGGGCCATATTCATTCCAGAATCTTCTTTTCTAGACCCACACAGCCTAGCTGGCTTGTCTGGAATCTTCTAGGCATTGGAAGTGATGAAAACTACATGGAAGAGACAAAGGAGACATAATGTTTTTCTGACTTTGGGTTTTGTATCTGTACTCTCTCTTATCAAGGTGTCATGTTTCCCCTGAAATCTCATAGTGAGTTGCCAAATTTGAGATGCCTCTGGAACCAGTCAAGCAGAGGCTATAGCTTGAACAAGTTATGTGTACATGTAAAATATATACATATATACAAGTCTGT